TTCCAGTATGCTCTTTGCATTTCCAACAAGTTAAGAAGATGCTTTTTGACAATTTCTCTGCCATTCCATTCAATAGTGGATAAAGATCTAAAATCTTCAAAAGTGTCATAAAGAAGAATGAGGTCATTTCAAGCTTGAATAAGTTTAGACAACTGTGAGAGCTCTTTGGCCCAAATCTTTAGTCCCTTTCTCATACTCTTAAACTTAGCAGTGATTCTCTTTGCACTATCAGGTTCATTAACATCTTGTTGCCAAATATTTTTTTACAGTGTCTTTGAAACTATCAATCTGCATCCAATAATTTTCAAACCTGAAAATCTTTGACTTTGGAATCCTGGTGCCAATATTAATGATGCACGGGACATGATCAGAAATAGGCTTTTAGAGGGGCAACATCATGGTGTTAGGGAAGTTTGAAGTCCAAGTTTCAGAAGAAAAAACCCAATCAAGTTTCTCAAGTAAAGGGGTTCTCTCCCTTTCAAAGGAATTTCTAGAAGGCCCAATTTGCTGATTGCTTCATTGAATAAGAGCATATCATTGAGATTACCCCCTTCTCTACTTCTGTTTGAAGGATACCTAATATAATTGAAGTCCCCCAGCATCAACCAATTACAATCATCAAGAATGTGAATATTAGAAAACCAGTCCATAAAAATAACCCTGTCAGAAGAAAGACAAGGGCCATAGATATTTGATAAAGTCCAGGTATCAGAGGAGAGCTTAGAGTTGAACCGAATGGAAATAGAGAAGGAGTTTTTGGAGATAGTCTCTCCTGTGAAAAGAGTATCATTCCAGACCACTAGTAACCCTCCTGATGCACCTACAGATGGCTGGTAATCAAACTTGTTCAAACGTTTTGGGTAAAATTGCTTAAGAGATCTGCTGTCAAATGTTTCCCTCTTTGTTTCTTGGATGCAAATCAAGTCACAGTCTGTCTCATCGATTTTGTTTCGAATAGCCAACCACTTATCTTTATCATTGATGCCTCCAATATTCTAGTTTAAGATTTTCCACTGCTTATTCATGATAGAAATGCAGAAATAACTGGATATGACAAATTTGCATAGCTTTGCATAACTTAGAGATCTCAGTCTGCAACAGAACTAAAAGTGCCAGCTCAACCTTACCCCAAAATATGGGTTTACACAGGATCATTAGATATGACATAACCAATACATCCATAGCTCAAAATGAAACTAGACAGAGCTCCTAAGAAATCCTTAGGCAGGGCTGGGCAGTCCCCCCTTCCGTGGGCTCTTCTTGTTCTTCTCTTTCACCGCTTTGTCCTTGCTCCCTTTCTTCTTCTTGGCTTGGTGCAGGGCCTCATCAGAGCAGTCTTTCTCAGGAATCTTGCAGAAAGCAACAGAGAGATTTTTAACCACTTTGCTGGGTAATGAAGGAGGATTAACATTGCAAGGCAAGCAGTTTCTATCCATGCATGTTTTCTTTCTGTAACCATGATTCAATTGCTGAATTCTACAACTTCTTCTCACCTGGGTTTCAATAAGAGGAGCTTTTTCCTTCCTCTTTTTGTACACTTGGATGGCAGTGGTGCTGGAAGACATTCCCACTGATGAGGGCTTGGAAGGTCGAGTGGTGGCCACAATAGTTGGGAGCACCTCTTTATCATTCTGATTCTGGCTAATGTTCTGCAGGACAGATTCACATTTCTCAGGTATGACAAAAGGTTTCAGATTGGAGCTATCTGAATATTCTGAAATAATTTTCCATAACTGAGAAGAAAGCAACTGTTTAACCCACTCAAACTTATCTAGAGTAAGTAGTGCAAGAGCAATAAAATTTGCCCACTCATTAGGTACCTGAATCACATCCTTAGGCTACCCTTCAGGAGCAAAATGCTTCTTCCAAAGCTCTGCTTCTTCATGACCAGTGCAGGCATTGTGCAGCTCTTCCTGTGCTTGGGACAGAAACATCTTTTGCATGACTGGGTCTGCTGCATCAGGCAAAAGTTGACAAGCACCCACATGAATTTGATCTTTAAAAATGGGCAAAGGGAAGCCAGGAGGAGGATTAGAACTACCTGAATCTGGGCTGGGTAGCTCTGAAGCTGCAGTGTTTACAGTTTGGTTGACTGTGGCAGAAATAACAGGCTCTTGAATTGTATCCAGAGCAGCTTCCTCAGGCTCAGCAGCAGCACCAACTATCTGTTGCTGAAAGTTGTCCTCTTGAGCAGCAAAAGGGTCCGGCAACATATGATGTGGAAGCAGAGTGTTGTTAGGTAGCATATCGGCCTGGTTTGGCAATTCTGGCATCCCTGGAGGTGGCTGATCCTGCGATATCAGTAAGGCAGTGGTATCATTAGCATGCACATCCGGTGGTACAAACACTGCAGCATCATGGGCGTCTGGCAGTTGCTGCACCATCATCTCATCCAGGTCAGCCTGCAGCACTGCAACAAGGATTTCAGGTTGCTGCAATTCCACCTCAAGTGGCATATTGAGATCTGGAAGCTGAATCTCTAGCATCAAGACTGGCGGATCATGTGGAACTAGGAGATTTCCAAACAACAAAAGATTGACAGCACCTTGAACTGAATTTGCAGTTTCAACACTGTTGGAGTCAATGCCCAGAGAGAGGGTGAGGCCACTGTGATCCATCTCAAGAGCTTGCTCAGCAGCAAAGAGTTGATTCTGCACTGGTACATTATCTTGGAGAGGAGGCATTGCCCAGTGGCCCCAATCCAGATCATCTGCATTCTGTGCATCTCCATTCCGAACATCTTGATCATTCCCAGGCTGCTCATTGTTTTCATGCTGCGGTACAGGTCCAAAGAAGAGGTTGTGCTGATTCGAATGGTGGTGCTGCTCAGGAGGTCTTGGGTGCGGGTTGCAATCTATCGGAATGGGCTGCTCATCTGGGGAGCTACCGCCCAACAACTCTTCCTGAAAAATAATGATTGGGCAAGTCCAAGATTCACCTTCGAAATGCCTGTCCCCGGTGACCGCCAAACTGACAGGAACATCAGACAGAGCATCGATTCTGACTTTAACTGCCATGGCGGCATCAGTGGTTTTTACTCTGTCCCAAGACAACAACTTCCCAAAACTAGAGACAGCGTTATTGAGCTTAGTCATACAGCGCAGATCCGTAGGGAAACCAACTAATAGTAGCCAGCAGTCTCTGGCCAGGTTAAACTTCCTCCAGTTCATACCTTGATCATGCTTTTGGAAAATGATGTGGATGTCATCAAACGGATGCGGGCTCCTATTGACCAAGGAATCCCTATCTGCTTTACTGTTGCATCTATCAAACGCCTGACCAAAATGACATTTGGAGATAGAAGAGAAAACGACCCTTTGCAAAGCCAAGAAATCACCGAGAACCTCTCTAACATTGACAAAAGCTACTTCACCTTGGGGCATTGGTACCAGAGTGGCGATGGCTAGGTTCTCGTTGGACAGCTGCATGTCGCCATGGATGACCCGAGCGCGAGCTGGCCTCCCTTCCACCTCAATTGCTTGAGTGCCAGGGAGCAGGAAAGGCATCGGATCGAATGGAAAATTCTCCATTGCTGAAGACCTCGCCGGAGTAGAACTGGTGGGATGTAGCAATGAGGAGACCCTGGTTGGATGGAGCGATTGATGAGACTGAGGAGGGCGGAGAGAAAGAATTGGGAAATGAGCGTCAACAGAGTCCCGAGCAGAGGGTAGTAAATTTTCAGCAGGGCCGGCATTACGGGAAGACGGAACGATAGAGTCACTGACCACTGGGTCCCACCTACCACTGTTACCTATTTCCAGATTATTCACCAGAATAGGTGGATTCGTCGTGTCAGAAGATGAAGGCGGAACGGCGATTTCGGGCCGGAATCTATAGTTGACTGCGATATGCCCCCATCTCTTGCAGGCCTTACATCGGATTTTGTTCTGGCATTTGGGCCTAGAGTGACCCGTCATGAGGAAACGAACACAGAAAAGGCCCACTGCATTATTGGTCAGAAGGCCCAAAGATTCAAAACGCGTCGATCCCGCCCTACCCAGCGCAGTGTTATTGGGCGAAGTTAAAACTGAAGTTAATGGGCCCCTTGATTGCTACATGACTTGATCATGCGAATTAGGCGTGGTTTGCGAAGAAAAGAATTGGGGCTGTTGAACAGCTTGAGCATATGATCGACGAGATTTTGTATTGGACACCACGGTCCAATCCTTAGATGCCGCCTCATGATAACGCCGGTAAAGATCTTTGAGATCATCATCCCCCTCTCCCCAAAGAAGAAAATTCATAGAGTAAAGATCGGTGGACAAGTTGCCTCCTCGAATTATTTCTAAACCCACTTCCGGAGAAGAGACACAGAACTTATATGACCAATTGCGCAGATGAGATACATTAAAAAGATTGGCAGAACCACCGAAACAGGCTTGAATAATGAGGCCCACCGATTCTGGATTTAGCTTGATCAACGAGCGCTTGAATTCCACCAGGAGGAAGAACTTTGTTGATCCTGGCAATACTTGGGTGTTGACGCCAGCATTGCATTGCTTCTTGATGTACTCCTCGAAAGCTTTCCCAAGAGAGAAGTTGAGATCTGAGAGGGCCATTTGCAGATGTGGCCGATGGGATCAAAGCGATCTCCGGCGGGAAGTGTCCGCCGTGGTCGGAGTGATCCCCGACACGGAGAATTTAGTGGCCGACGGGGCCGGAGTGTCCACTGGCGGGGGAGCGCAGCGAAGCGGAGCGGAGGCTAGGAGAGCGGAGCGGAGCGGCCACTAGTCACCCGCATACATCAATTGTTATAGGAGGTAAAATATAACTATATTATTTCTTATATTATTGTCTTGTGCTAATTAGAGGGGAAGTGACTTTTAACATTATGGGAGCAGGAAAGAACAAAAAATGGAGAAGTCAAAATAAGATAAGATTGGATGGTATGGCTATGTTTGATGAATGTGAAGAAGAAAACCCTCCCTATGATCAAGAATTTCCATTCGTAAAAACTAGAAGAAATTGCCCTCACAACCCAAGATTTCTCTGAAACCTGCATGACTGGAAAGGGAGGTTTTGGTAAAGTATACAAGGTAAATCTATGCTCTTTCCTAATATTCATTCTAGTCATGAGAGCTAATTTTTTTCATATAGCAAATTTAAATCTTAGTTTCCCATTATATTTCTCTAGGGAATGTTAGGTGGTCAAGAAGTTGCAATCAAGAGGATAAGTAGAGATTCTCGACAAGGAACAAAAGAATTTAGGAATGAAGTAATTCTAATTGCCAAGTTGCAACATAGAAACTTGGTTCGACTTCTTGGATGTTGCAGTGAGGGAGATGAAAAACTCTTGATATACGAGTATCTACCAAATAAGAGCTTAGATGCTACCCTTTTTGGTACATATTCTAATAACAAACCATCATTTCTAATTCAACTCAAAACATTTTTATTACATTTGTTTCTTCTCTTAGATGAGTCAAGAAAAATGATGTTGGACTGGCCGACAAGATTCCGTATAATCAAAGGGATTGCAAGGGGACTTCTATATCTTCATGAAGACTCGAGGTCCACCGTAATTCATAGAGATCTCAAAGCTGGAAATGTTTTGCTCGATGCAAATTTGAAACCCAAGATAGCTGATTTTGGTATGGTGAGGATCTTTGGTGATAACGAGGAAAATGCAAATACCCAACGCATTGTTGGAACATAGTGAGACCCAGTAAAAGACTCATATTAATTTTTCAAGAAATTCATTCTGACAATTGAAATGATCAAATAGTGGCTACATGGCTCCTGAGTATGCAATGGAAGGAGTCTTCTCTACCAAGTCTGACGTGTACAGTTTCGGCATGTTACTACTAGAGGTTATAACTGGTATAAGGAGAAACTCCATTAGTCAAACCATGGGATTCCCTAGCCTGACAGTTTACATGAGTACACACGACTTCCTTTAACTTTCATTTCCAGAAGTGCATCAAATATCTGAAGCATTTTTGATGCAAAAATTTAATATTGATATGATGTTCTTGATTATTTCAGTCATGGAATATGTGGAAGGAAGAAAAGACTGAGGAGCTGCCTAGCTCATCCATCATAGATACTTCACCAGATGAAGTTTTGCTTTGCGTCCATGTAGCGCTATTGTGCGTCCAGGAAAACCCTGATGATAGGCCTCTCATGTCATCTGTGGTGTTTGGCCTAGAGAATGGAAGCACCACACTTACATCCCCCAATCTCTCCGCCTACTTTGCGCGATGAAGTGCTGAAATGGATCAAATCAGAAATGGTAGTCAAAGTTCCGTGAACAGTTTTACTCTTACTGAGATAGAGGGGCGATGAAATAAATCCTATTTTTAGACTCATCGAACTCCTCTCGAAGGAAAAATATGTGAATTTAACACTACTATAAAATGTATGGCTCAACAAAATAGTGATGACATTCTGTAAAAAAGAAAAGAAAATAGTGATGTTTCATGTGTTCCCTAGTAGTCGTTATCTTTTATTATGTTCTGTCTTCCCTTTTTAGTCTGCATGACAGTCTTTTGTTACAAAATATATATATTAAGATACTGCTTAAATGAGAAGGGACTTTGAAGAAAAATACTTCGATGAAGGTGACCTTTATGGCTTTATTGGATACGAGTGATTAGGTGGTGGTGTTCTTATCTGCTCTTCTTGCAATGCTTTTGTGTTTACTTGTAAGAAAAGGGCATGATGGTCGGAAGGAATTACAAAAAAAGGGTTTCCCCCATTTATATTATAAAGCCAACATCATCACAACATCCGGACAGACCGATACAACACACACCACCACCGCGCACAACACACACACCCAAGACATGATACAAAGGTGTTGAGCACCGTCCCCCAATACCACGGCCAACCAAGCTAACTAAAAATGACAAAGGATAACCGCTTGAAGAGGACAGAGACCTCCATGAAGAAACGAGGAGGGGGGATATGGTCATGACAGAGCAGGGACTCCAAGACAGTGCCTCCTAGAAGGGGACGCCCACGGATAGCCGCCACCGTCCGATCCGTAGATCAAGTTTTCACCCGGAGTCACATGCGAGGGGTAGGAGCACCGCCACGACGCCTTCATGAAGGATACGACCACCACGGCCGCCGCTGCCGTCGGCCAGTACAAGGACTGCGCAAGTGATGAACTCCGGCGCTCGCACCCCTCCGACATACCCTCGCTCTGCCAACCAGCCGCAACCAAGCCCCCCGCGAGGCCATGGTTGCCCGCCCACACCCGATACGTAGGTTCCGTCCACGAACGCCACGCCTCCCGCCGCCATGGCCGCCGCCCAACATTCAAACACCCCCAAGATCATCCAAAAGGATCAACTTTGGACCAAGGGGACACACCAGACCAACGAGTCGCATAATATATCCCGCCTTGAAGATCGCCGGTGCTACAGCCGCCCACACGCGGCTGGGGAAAGGGGGAGGTGGGGGAGCAGACGCATCCAGACCGGCACACCCCTGTGCCGGTGATGGGGGCCCGAGCACGTTGGCGCCGCCCATCCCTCCAGCCCAATCCCTCCTCCTGGACACACCCCAGTGCCGTCCCGCCTCGGCGACCAGCGCAGAGCCATGCAAGGCCACCAACACAACCCCAACCACCGGCAAGGAGTGCCCACCAGGACCGCCGCCCACCCCCGAGGAAGCTCACCGGGGAGTCCAACCGCGCCACCGTCGCCGTCCAGCCGGCGGGACACCTGGAAACCCAGCAGCCCGCCCACCTGCCACCGCCGCTGCGCCTCCGCCCCTACCAGCCATGGCCACGGCAAAGGCGGACGCCCGCAGCCCACGCTGCTCCCGGTCCGTGCCGCCTGGGCCCAGATCTGGCCGCACACCGACAGGGTCAACACCGCCGGAGCCCACCGCGCCCCACCACGCCTC